CCACCCCTATGCCAGAATTCAAGTAAACATGGAAGTCCATCTCCCTGCAAAATGTTCATGAAAAGACCTGGATAACTCCCAGGTAACTAGAACATTCCAGGCTCCACCTACAGAGATTCTGATTAGGCAGGCCTGGACAGGGCCCAGGAACCTGCATTTCTGGCAATCAGCCCAAGTGCATCCTAGTGACCAGACTTTAAGAAATGCTATGTAACTCCCACAACTTCTAGGGCTTCAAAACCACCTGGGGAGCTCTCTGACAATACATTCTGAAGACATTGGGAATCTGTAGTTTTTAAAACTTCCTTAGGTGAGGATGTGCAGCCAGATTTGGGAATCACTAGAATATTCAAGTTCACAACCATATTTCCAGAGATGCACGGATGTTCTTAATCATTTTGTGTGTCCTTCAGTCCTTGACTTTCAAAAATCTTCCACTCCTCTTCCAGAGAAGACACACTCAGCAGAAAATGTCTCTTGGGCACTCTGTAAGTTATATGTTTCACTATAAATTCATCAGTTGGTCTCATGCTTAAAGAAATCAGAAAACCAGGATTCTGCTCCCTGCTCTGTATCACTTTATAGCTGTGTGGCCTTGGACTAGTCATTTCACAAATCTGGGCCTCATCACCCATGATATTTAGTAGAAAGAAGAATAAGGGTTGGCTAAGGTCACCTTCTAGGGCTTTTCTGGCTCTAACACTCTATTATTCATTCCTTGAATCATAAAATCCATTTCACTCCTTTAGAATGCAACATCGGCAGGTGTCAAGGACTCTGAAGTACATTTACGAACTCAAAGGGATAGACCAACCTCAGCCAAGCTGTACAAGCAGCTTCTCATGATGAATGCCTATAGATAGGAAACAGGCTGAAGCATAAAGCTGGGCAGGAGCCCAAAGAGAGGGCCTGACAAACAACATAACAAATAGAATTTAGACTAGGGAGAAGATTACTGTATTTGCTACTAAAGACATTTCTTAATGTACTTTCCTAATCCTCACTTTATCAAAACAATGACATTAATTTGCTAACACTGACATAGTCTAAAAATTACATACTCCTTTCAAAGACTAGGGAAAGAGACACACTTTCCTAACTAGACATTTTTGTACCTGAGATATAGTTTCCTAATTGAGCATTAAGTATGATTTAAGAAAAGTAAAAAGGAGGGATTCCAAATCTTCTTCCTGAAGAGTGACTCTATAGTTTTCTTCTAACCCAATTAATGCTCATGCTCCTACAAAATCTGAATACAAAAATCTCACCCAATTGCTCCACAGGGGGTGGGATAAGCTGGGTAACTGGAGAGGAACCAAAGAACTGTGGCCTGACCCTAAGGTTTATACTAAGAAACTGCACAAGATGGCTAATGCTAAACATCACAGGGCAGAATCCAAATTTCCTCAAGTTCTCTCAAAACCTTGCTAGAGATACATCAGTAGTACTTCTTAGGAAGTGTGCCTACTTTGCAAAGTGTAACCATTCAAGTCCAGTTTTAGATACCTACCATTTACTAGACTATTTTGCTCAATACAAATATTTACTAGTAAACTCAGAATGAAAAAAAAGTCCTAAGGCAGTTTATGCTTAAAGCTAAATGAATCGGACCCTTCTGAAAGCTATTTTAACCCACATTGTAAATAAAATGTCAGTGGGCCAAATCAAAACTGGATTACTAGAAGTAGGGGTGCCTCCTTTTCAGATATGCCTACTCAATTTTTAAATTTATACTTATCATGTACATTCCTTTATGAAACATGCTCATTTTACTGATGTGATCACATTAGGGAAGAATTCATATTAAATTGTCTAATAATCAGTTACCAAATGATTTCAAAAGCTTTTACAGCAACACATTCAGTACAAAGCTTAAGAAAGACATCCCCCTCAAATAAGTTCCACGATCGATTCAGGATAGGGAACTATAAATCAAACAGCTTTGTGTACCGTTGGAATTTTCATTGTTTTTAATATCTACAGTGATGATCTACAGTGTGGCTTATATAGTGAACTATGGAGTGCAGCATTACTCAAACTTGTGTGTCAATGTAACACTGATTTTGAAGAATAATTATGACTATCTCATAAGAAGTTAAAAAGCATCTTTCAATCTTATACACTGTTGGTGGGAATGCAAATTAATACAGCCACTATTGAAAACAGTATGGAGGTTCCTCAAAAAATTAAAAATAGAACTACCATATAATCCAGCAATCCCACTACTGAGCATATACTCAAAAGAAATGAAATCAGTTTGTTAAGATTACTGCACTCCCATGTTTATTGTAGCACTGTTCACAACAGCCAAGATATGAAATCAACCTAAGTATCCAACAGACTAATGGATAAAGAAAATGTGGTATATATACACAATGAAATATTTTTTAGACATAAAAAAGAATGAAATCCTGTCATTTGCAGCAACATGGATGAACTTGGAAGGTATTATGTTAAGTAAAGTGAGCCAGGCACAGAGAGACAAATACCACAACATCAATCACATGCAACTATTTCATATAAAAAAAGTTGATCTCATAGAAGGAGAGAGTAAAATAGTGGGCTGAGTAAAATCAGGGGCTGAGTAAGGGAGGGGAGACGGGGGGCAAGGGGGATGAGATTGGTTCATGGTCACAGAGTCACAGATAATAGGAATGAGTTCTGGAGTGCTATTCACAGAAGGGTGCCCATAGTTAACAACATTGTATGGTATATTTTAAAATAGCTAGATGAAAGGACTTTGAATGTTCTCGCCACAAAGAAATGATGAATGTTTGAGATGACAGAAATGCTAACTACGCTGCTTGATCATCACACAACGTACATATGTACTGAAACAGCTCATTGTACTCCATAAATATGTATATTTATTATGTGCCAATTAAAAATATGTAATCAAAAAAAAAAAAAAAACATCTTTTGACACTTATGCCTTACTCATGGAATTTTGGGGCACTCCACTTGCTTACCAAATATTTTTAATAGAAATTTTACCATAGTGGAAATCTCTATTACCCTCATTGGCCCAAACAAAAGACAATGGGCAAGGGTTGGAGGTTGAAGGAAACTGACAACAAATACTAACACAGTTTTTCAGTACTTAACCATGTACTTCAAATTACCCATGTGCTGCTGTTCTACCACCATGGTCCACCACACTAAAGTCAGAGAGGCAAAAAATGTGAAGATGTAGAACTCAAATTTATTCCATTTTTCACATAATAACTCTAGAAAAAGGTTTACAGAACATAATCCAAGACTGACCAGAGAAAACAGCTGAAAATCTGTGAAATGTTTCCTGTGGCAACTGCCTAAAATAAATGATGTATGATTTGTTTAAAATTTTCATCTACTACTCCTGGTATAACAAAACATGTGACTTTTATGCTCTGTTGAAACATTTTTCTTTTTTAAATGGTAGGGTAGCTACTAAACAATCAAATCAGATACCATATCATTTATGTCATAGCTTCCATGCCATTTATCACATTTTATCCTTTATGTCAAAGAAGTTGCAAAATCCACATGTAAAGGATATTGTTTTGCTTAATATATATCTTTAAAAACTCAATATCAGGACAGAGACATAAGAAGAGCCATTTGTTCTCTCCCTTTTCCAACTTATTAAAACCTGTTTCTTTATAAATTTCACATATGCTGATCACACTGCTTTTGGAAAAGAAATTAAAAAATCTCATCCATTTAATTATCAGCATTCAAGAACATAAGAACCTTCCTGATAGCATAGTGAACATCTCTGCAACATAATTAGTTAAAATATAATTATTTAGTATAGATTGATGAAATCAGTTTTTAACTTGATTTCAATGAGTAAGTTCCCTCTGTGAGCTTCAATCTGTAGCTTGAATACGATTGTGGGGCCAAGCTTCAGTAGGTGCTGGCTCTGAGAACTCACTTGGAGAGCTTAGAGAGGGTAATTCTTGCTGTCTTGATTAACAGAATAGCTAAAAAGCACCATCTCTCAGAAAAAGTCAAAACTGACCTTAAATAACCTAGTGACCCCTTTTTCTCTGCCTTTTACCTCATTTTACCAATGAAAACCTGAAGTCAAGATCTGACTTGTCCAAGGTCTCATGACTGTTAAAGAGTTCAAACTCCAGGTCTCATTCTCCACAAGCCTTTATAAGTATTCTTTACTCATTTCAAACATTCATTTTTATATTTTGGGGTTATAAACCATATAAGGCAATTCTGATACACTACCAAATTTAACAATATAAAAAAACCATGGGGTCTGTCTATAGGTAACTTCGTACACGTTTAGTGTGTCTGAAAACAATTCCTACAGGAAGTGTTAACCTTTCTATATCAAGAACATGCCCCATAATAATTAGGTTTTGGTTTTCTCTAAAAAAATTTAGTCAAATCTTTTGAAATATTAAGATTTTCAACTACCTATTGTTCAAAATATACTGCCATTAAGGCCAAGCTATGAAACCTTTTATTCTTATATTTATGATAAAAGAGAGAATTCATACACTACATTTTTATTTTCCTTGTTAAGAAACATTACATAAGATCTCATTACATTCAAATTATATCAGTGCAAATTATATATTACCCACTGACAATGCAAATGGTATCAATTACTTTATCATGTATATTAGAAGCAGGAGGACTGCTTTGTTGCCCCTCTCCCAAATACAATATTCTTACTTCTTGTTATTGAATTGCTAAATCGTGTATGCTCAGGAAACTAAAAAATAAAGGTTAACATGACACTTGCAACTCCACACGTACACACTTTTGAAACATTCTCCATTGGAGTCCAGTTAAAATATATACTGCCCCAAAAATATTTTATGCTTTAAAAGGAAAACTTAAAACTAAGTTTCAAATTGCTGACATCGTCAGTAATAGAAAATCTAGGTGTGTAAAACTGTGGCAATGAACAATTTATAAGTAGTAAACTTATTATTTTCTCATATCTTGAAACACAATCCTTTAAAAATGTGAGTCATTTATATTAAACTGCATACCTGTTATTTTGTCTCTTACAAGCTTACAGGACTCTATCTCACCAATGCTCCCAAAAAGACTCTTTAGTTCCTCCTGTGTCATGTTCTGAGGAAGGTAGTTGACTATTAAGTTGGTCTTGCTGTCCTCTGTGTTCCCAGAGTCAACTGGTGATGAGCAGTTGTTGTTTATGGTGGTTGGACCATTGGCTGTGTTATTGCAAGTTGGCCCATTAGACAGTTGTGTTTCCATGGCAGCAATTACCTGCTAAAAACAGAGAAAATAAGAAATGTCAGAATTCATATTTCACAACCTATTAGAGATTCCATCCAAGAATTTAAACACTTGTCACTAAACACAAGTCCTTCTGCTAAAATTACAATAAAGCTTCAACAAAATGTGTAACACCTACACTAATTTTTACTTCATATTAAAGCTATTCAACTTAAGATTAATTATACTTTCATATACATATTCCATACATGCACATAAGCACAATTTAAATCTTAAACATTTTCTACAATCACATTCTGGGTTTATTCACATACCCTTACTCACCTGAAGTGTCCACAGACGAGAAAACTTAGTACACCAAAGGGCACAGAACTGTACCCTGCCTGAAAATCGTACTAGAAATAAAAGCGCTTAACATGCTACCAACGAAAAACAAAAAAAACAAAAAATGACCTAATTTTGAAGAGATTTTCAGTTAGCCTAAGAGGTTCAAATATTCTAAAACTGACAGACATCCATTAACTTAAAAATCAAGGAGCAAGAGCACTTTAAAAAATATATAAAATTGTCAACATGTACTGTTTTGGTTACATATTGAAAATGTTTTTGATTGACAGTATCTTGTATCTCTACCATTGGTAAGAAAAAAATAGATGTATTATGTTAGGAAGTGAAAAGGATTTGTAGGATAACTTGGGAATGAAGCTATGAATACAAATTTGTCTACATTGTAGAAACTAAAAGGCCCCTTCTTGTTAACCTAGGAAGCTAAAGATCACCAACAAGGCAACTGATCTACAGCATCAAAATAAAATTCCCAAACAATTAATTCAATATGGTATTTTGTCCTGACTCTGATTATAAGGAGGAAAAAAAATCCTATCCAGTCCACCAAAACAATAATGAAAATATATCAACTTTTGCAAACAGACCAGCCCAAGGAAATTTCATTTGAGCACAAAAGCCTGTTGAAAATTCAAGTAATAAAGTATCTATCTATAAACCCCAAATACCAGATAAATAACAGACCTGGGGGAAATGGCCTCAAACTATTCAGGCTACTCTAAAAAAACACTTACTAAGCAATTTTGGATCTAGTTTCCTAAAAACCAATCCTATGTTCTTTGAGCAAAACAGTCACAAACCACAGGCCCAAATTTTCCAAAGTATTTTCCAATAACTAACTCACTCTGGACAGTCAAGACTGGGGGGAATCCAAAAATCAAAGTATCACTGAAAGGATTATCCTTCTTATTTCATACAATACATCTCTTAGCTCCACAAAGAACTACTCAAAACTGACAATTCTGAATTGACAGGATGCTAGTTTTAGGGAAGTTTTAACATAGAAAAGGCAAAGAATTTGAGGCAAAGAAAAAAAAAAGGCAAAGTAAAGGGAAAGAAGGTTACACAGAAAGAGAAAAATCTGTCTTTTAAAAAGCATACTGCCTGAGAAAAATAAAAGGGCACACGAGCAGATAAACATACAGGAAGAAATCTCCACTGCCAAGAGGTGTGTATAAAAGAAGGCAGCAGAGGACAGATTGAGACTGGTCAACTGACCAGACTGAGACTGGTCAGGCTGGACAAGAATTAGTGCTGTCAGGATTTAAAAAAAAAAAAAAATTTAAAAACCCACAGGAGGCAAAATTCAGAATAGCTTTGAAAATATCCAACCACCTATAACCCCTCTGTGACTTAATTTCCTTTACAAAGAAATGGGTATTTATTCTCCAAGCTGCAAGCACTTTCCTTGGGTAAGTATTCTTAGGGAATACTTATGGGGGCAAAGGAAAATAAGCCTTTGGAAATCTGTTATTAAAAAAATCTGAAATATTTGAAAACATGGGCTTTATTATAATTAACAAATCTATTAAGAAGGGAAGTTTCAGATTTCCTAATAAAGCATAACTGCTCCAGTTTGTAGAATATTAGCTGTAGATTGCTCTTCCCATTGCAAAATTCTTCTGGGGTTAAAACTTTTGCCCAGCAGTTATGAAAACAATAAGCTATAAGAAGAAAGTGGCCAAAGCAAATTAAAACAAATCACTATTCAAAAGTTAGGGTATACGAGTAGAAACTATGAGAGCCCCAAATGGGAGATTTGGACTAAAGCTCATTGGGATGGCATTTGAAATATAAAGTGTTCATTGACTGAAATTAGCAAGATTTAGAAAGGACAACAAACACTCCTCACTTAATTGCACATTTATTTCCATGTTCAGGTGGCAAGAATGAGCTCCTAAGCCAACATTCAAGTGAACAGCTGCAGTAGGCTGTGTGAGCTGAAAATTACAGCATCTCTCAGCTATAGGACCATCTGCTCAGAATAAAATGATACTAATGTGCTATATTTTACAAATAATGCATATTCCATTGATAGGCTCAACACAACTGTTCACAGAATGCAAACTCTTTCAACAGTTACTGGGCAAATAATTTTCAGCCAGATTTACAATTTTAACTTTTTTTTTTGAGCATCAGGAAATATGAATAACTTCAAAATTTAGTAACCAAAAAAATACATAGTAAACAGAATGTAAAGAATTACGGTAACTTAGTATTCAGACCATACCAAAACTTTTTTTGTTTTTAAAAATAGCTTGTCACTCTTTTGAGTCTGCACTAAATCCTAATTTAGATCATAAAAAGTTACATACCAGAGCATGGTTCTGATGCTACATATACCACTATGGTTAAAATTCCAATGTGCTTTAAGTCCTAATGATGGCCATACCACAATAGGTTAAATGTAAGAATAATTAGTATGCCAAATGAAAGGTTCAAGTGTTTGGTATGGCCTCAGCACTCCTGCAACATGCTAAAAAAAGTAGCCTACAGAATTTAAGAAAAATCCCACAGACCCCGGTCCAAGGCTCTGCTGCCCACGAACCACTTCTAAGCAGAGAAGCCACATCACACAGTCTGACTGCCATGTTAGTTTGGAGTTGCCGTCTGCAATATGGACACAAAAAGTACCGTATGTTAGATGAGCAAGATAATGCAACAAATCAGTTTGTACAAAATTTACAGTGATTGTATTGATATTCCCAGCACGTCCATGCAGTGTGGCTTAATTGAATTTGAGGCAATTCCAATCTAATCTTTCCAAATTCATGTTAACAAGTAGTTTTCTTGCACAAATGTAAGCATTTTTAATTAAGAGCCTGATTGTAAAACAATATTAACTAGTTAACTTGGCATCTATCCTAAAGAACTACCTTAAACCACATCTCAAAAATTTAAAAAAAAAAAAAAAATGAAATGAAATCAAACAAAATACTGCAGGTTGTCCTGCCTGCCTCTTAAGGATGTGGGAGAAGGGAGGAAATGTGAATGAAATTTTATAGTGAGAAAAATCGTTCATGCAATTCATAAGTGATTGCTTTGCATAAAAGCACCCTTTTCCCCAAAATATCAAAAGGCCATTAAGAGAAGCTATATTTGCCCACACTGTTACATTATACTACAAATGACCCTTAATCCTGGGACTTAAAATTAAAAGTGAATCGAAACCCTGTGAGGTTATTTTGCTTCTATAGTCAAACTGGTCTCTAACAGTTTCACTGAGAATTGTTAACATATACTAAGAGGCAGTAAACCAGCATCTTTCAATTGAAATAATTGGACCAATAAATAGGATTGTTTGGAGTAATGCTTGTATAGGATGTCAGCTTTGTCCCTGAACGAAATCAAGTGAACATTTTTTAATATGTAAATTGTAAACCCAGCACGATTTGAAATTAGTGCTGCTATGAGGCCTCCAATATAGTTAATGGGCCATTTACCACTTATTACAACTTGCCCAAATACTAAACAGAGACACGATATTGGCACAAAAGCCAAAGTTTACTTTTTAGCCACATACGCAGATGCTTTAAATGGTCAGCGTAATAACCAGAAAACTAAGTCCCTGAATGTCGAGAAATAACAAATAACAAACAAGGGGCTGAAAATGCCTTTTACTTACGTACTTATATTACTGATATCTAAAAAAATTTTATCCTTACAGTTAAACCTGGCTGCAAGTGGCTTACTCTTGATGCTAGTGATGACACTAACAATGGATCCCATTTTCTGGCATCTACCAAAAGGGTTTAACATAGTCTTTACAGGATGCCATGGAAATCTTTTACTCTTCTTCCCTTCTCCCACTATAACTAGAGAATGCAGTCTGACCCTCTATTTTTGATTTTTTTTTTAAAAAAAAAAAAAAGCAAAAAAAACAAAACAAAAAAAACCCTACTTAACATTGAACTGAACCTGTGAAAAAGTAAAGTGCTTTATACCCATGAAAGATTTTGACAAGAACCCAACTGTGGTTAGACTACATGAGTAAGACACCAGAACCACACCCAACAGGTTAAACCAAGCCTAAATTTATGTCCTGAATACCCTCAGGAGTTAGTATCTAAACATTTCCCACTACATAAAACCATAGATTCTAATTTAATGGCCTCAGTCCCTTCTGTTCCATAGGAGGCGGACACTAATGAGCTAATCTATTGACACCCCTCTTTCTGAAAGCCCCAGGGATGTGAACACTTTATTGCACCAACTAGCTAGGAAGGCTGTGGATGGAAAATGATTCTTCTGCACTTTTACATTTCAAGCACCCCAGACAGTCTCTCCGCTTGAGGCAGACACATACCTTTATGGGAAGTTATAAATAAGTTGCTCACATGGCCCTTACCTTTATGCTGGCCAACAATTCAGTTACTAAAAATGTAAAGCTACTTCCCCTTCACTTAAGGACAGGCGATTCTGCTATACTCAATCTACCACAGACAACCGGGCTGTGCACTATTTATAGATTCCACTGGCTCTGAAATTCTTTGGAAGGGAAAAAAGGGCCATATTCCAGCAAAATAGAGCCATTAATTTTAAGGCTTAAAAAAATAATGTTCCAATATATATGCTCATCTCTTAATTTAGACATCAATTGTGCCAATTTGGATGGCTTTTCCTCCTGTTATTCTCCATGTAATAATTTATGAAAAGGCACTTTAGCATAGATCAATCTAGAATATTCTAAACTTTCCCTGGTCTCCAAGAGATAATGGTGAGGTATTAGTTTAGGGAGAGCATGGATTTTATTGGGGATAAGGGGTATGGTCTCTAAGTTTTCACGTTTATACAGTCTACTTCCCAAAAGCCATGAAGACTTTTCAGGCTGAATTTTATTTTTATTAAAACAGCCCTCTACATACTTTAACATCTATAGTTTCTTACAAGACTGGAATTTAGGAAGTCAATGTTTTATACATATATATATATATATATATGAACAGTAAAAATGAAAAGTGAAATTGGTCCAACAGTTTCCTGGTCACAAAAAAGGAAAAGTTTCTATTTTCCAATCTTCCTAGTAAAAAAATTCTGAAAAACTAAACAGCTTCTTCACTAGTATCAAACCTCCAGACAGCCACCAAACAAGACAATTAACCAAAAACATCTTAAATATACAATGAGAATTCTCATTGAGTTCACTAAGTATAATGTCATAAGGGAAAAATGGGTTTCCATGACCCAGAAACCACCTGATTTGGGGACTAGACCTCTGTGGGTTAAAGTCCTAGCAGGACTGCTGAGAGGGCCATTGCACAGCCCCAGTGTGAGGCTAACTAGTCCTGTCTGCACAAGCCACTCCACTGCCAAGGTTACTGTCTTGATCTGGGCCCTCACCCTCCTGTGGACCATCAAATTATAGCCTCCAAAAGATCCCTCCCTCCTCATCCTAATCTACTGTAACACCGTTCTCAAACAGACTTTCCTAAACCCTCAACAGCTCCCTACTGCCTATCAAATTAAGTGCAAACTACTCAGCATAAACACTATACACATTTGAGATCCTCTACAACTAGTTTTACCAGCCTACTTATTATTCGAGCACCTAAAAATCTGAACCACTTTGCTTGCCTTTCAAACGAATCCATATCCTCACTCTTCTGGCTTTGCTCGTGCAGTTCTATCAGCCTGCAAGGCTTCCCTCCAAACCCACCCCACCTCCACTTCAGGGGTTTGTACAGACTAAGTATTCAAAAATGTATGTGAGGACAAGAACAGTTTCTTTAAAAATTGGAGAATAAAAAGGCAAATCACCTCCCTAAATGCATGCAAACTTGGTAGCTTGTTTTTCTATCCCATCACAAGTATTTTAAACCAGAAATAATTATGAAACCAAATTTTTCATTTTGACACTCCATCAGCCACCCTCACCCACTGACATCCAAATTCTTCTTACACGGTACAACAAAGGAAATCATTTATCTTTTGGGTGATAAGTTACTTGTGTGCTTTTACTTCAAAAACCTATCATACCAACTTGCCAACTACAAAAACCTGGAAGACAAGACAAATCCAAGCCTCTCGCCGACAGGGTTATCGAGATGTGGCATATGGAATTTGGGTCTGAGTTCAGGAAAATGGCAAAAGCAAAGGTGAATGCAAAAAACAGACATGACCAAGACACTTAGAAATGCATCATGATTAAAGTCGTGAATCGCAAATGGTTTTGATACTAAGAAGGTTCAGGCAAACATAAATGGTACCGTCTCTGAAAAGAATCATGGCTAGAGGCGAGGACAAGTATCTTGGGCTGGAAGTTCTGGCTTGGATAAAGTGCCCATTATCTAGCTTATTTGCAGCTAGAAAGTTTCTTAGTATCTCGGGTGGCACAGCACCAGGGCGGAATCAATCCAGCGCAAAGTCTTCCCTTCCACATCAAACCTCTCCCTAAAGGCTACATTACAGGTGAACAAAAGACATTTGTCTCAAGTTTTAGAGCCAAACCTACCTAAAACACAAAAAAACACAACCTTTGCCAAAAATACACCTTCCTTTGGGGAACTCAAGCCCTTGAAGTATCAGTAAAAAATAAGGAGTATGAGCTTATAGAAGAGAGCTGAGTAAGCAGTGGATGGGGTCACCTGCCTAAGAGACACCATTCCTACAGCAAATGCTTCATCTTTCCCATTCAAATCACTAAAATGGTATTTTCAGGATCCATTTCTGGCTTTACTAAATTAAGCAACAGAATAGTAAACCAAGTGCTAAAATCGGAGGTTAACATGTCAGTTACAGGAATAAGCCATTAGTTTGTTTTCTTTTGCTTTGTGGTTCCTAAAATAATAAAGGTTTATAGCTTTAAGCTTCATAGGATTTCCTCAATCCTAGAATCCCTGTCAACTCTCTAGCCGACCCCCACACCATGTTAGCTGTCTCACTGGCTCTATGGATTCCACTAACTCAGATTTTCTGCCTTGGGTCTAACAAGGGTCCAAGAGCTGCCAGAGACAATGCACCAACAGCTGCAGGGAGTCACAGGGAGAATGTTCTTTGGCAGAAAACATTAACATTTCTCTCTCTTAGCCCTTTATGGCTTCTACAGACAAAGTATGGAGTTTCTCCGATGCCAGTCTTTCTTTTGTAGTTCTAGAGCTGGCAGGATTAAAAGCTTTGAGGTTAGAGAGCTGAGATAATGAGTTTAGGGTTCCAAGTCCTTCCCTTCACTCCCAGGTCCATTATAGGCATCCAGGTTGGGCAACAGGAAAGTAAAGACCAGGTTAAAAAAAAAAAAAAAGATCTACTTAAGCTTCACACTGTGTTCATTCATCCATTCAACAAACATGCATGCAACTCTCCCGAGCTAAGGACAGTCTTAGGTGCTTGAGGTACAGCAGAGTAAAGAAGCACACTGGAGTAGATGTGCAAAGGGAGGTATGTGCAGCAGTATGAACCAAGTATGAACACATATAATAGTCTTAGCAAGAAATAAGTATGCTTTGGAATAAATGAAAATGCAGAACAGAGTAAGGGGGGTTGAGAATGTGGAGATATGGGGTGGGTAGTTTCTAGTATTATATGATAGGCCTCACTGAGAAGGTGAGCTCTGAGCCAAGTTTGAAGCAGATGTGAGCTGTCTGCTGTGTGGAATAATGCTCTCCCAATCCCAA